CAAATCAAAGCACAACACTGGACGGTGGAGTTGCAACAAATAAATATTTTCACATTTTAAGGGTAGGTCCTGGGTGTCCAAGTGAAATGTAAGTAGAGCATAATCTTGCCCAAACAATAGGGATTCCGCAATTGGGGAGAAACGGCCGAAAATTGAGACGCACACAATAGAAAATGAGTATTTGATTATGATCATCAATGATATAACCTAATGACGTTATGGTTTGTGTTTGTGTCAAATGTTTGTGTGCCTCTTGCCGGCCATATTTGTGTCACGTGTTTTGGATAGTCTAATAGACAATGTCAACGTAAACAATTGATTGTCTACACGTAGATAATTCGAATTGTTTACGTGGGCATTTGTTTACATGTGGCGTAAACAATAAACTTATTCTAGAAAATTTAAAAAAAGTTCCAAAATTACTACTACCTAAGTAGCTTATACCTATCACTTTGATATCAGCATTCACTGATTATAAATATGAGGAAAACCGATAATAAAATAAAAATAATTTTCGAAAAGGAAAGTGTAAGGTTAGAATTAAACGTCATTTATATTATTTTACATTGTTGACACGTTGTCTACATTGTCTCCATTGTCTATATTGTCTACACGTTAAGTAGACAATGAAAGTCTACGTGTAGACGCACATCCCTGGACAAAGTGACAAAAAAAAAATTGTTGCACTAGTGATAAAAATTTAAAAAAAAAAGTATTTAATAAGTGTTGTTTGTTTTTAAGTTGAATTTTTTGAATTTTATTATTTTTTTGGGGGGGGTTTGAACCCCCAAACCCCCCCCCTAGATACGGCCCTACACTCGAAAATTTACCATATTTTAATAAAAAAAAAAACAGCGCGCCAAAAAGAATACTCAAACTCATTTCATAATAAACAACAACAAACACCAAAAAGTTTTGTGATTAGGATAATTTGATATTCGACTCAATTAGGTGACTGCTTTCGACCAATCAAATATTTGCTATGATCACCATCATGGTAAACAATGCTACCAACTATATCGCCTAACCCAGAGTCTGTTAACAAAACCTACAATAAATGCTTAGCACACAATCCACAGTTAACCCGAGGTTAAAATTAATATCGGGTTAGTTTGAGTTACTACATAGAGTTCCTCGCAACTGAGAAACCGCCCCTCAAGAAATCACGACTGTCAGTTTGACAACTACGCATTGTCTAAGGTCTGCTGATAAATATTATAGCCTCTAATTTCATAGTTTGTTTTGTTTTTGAGTTTTGTGTTCTGAAACTGTATGTTTCGTTGCTGGGAATATGAAAGTTCCCATAAGTACCAACTTGAAGTATTAGGCAATCCAATCCATCTGTCAAAACAAAATTTTATATGGCATGGCGGTCAGACCAGTCTGTTTTGTAATATGTGTTTTTATGCGTATTTTAGTTATTTTTCTTGCGAGTTTCATTATTAATAAACTATTTGTTGACCAGGTTTGATTGTTTAAATTTTTTCCAATATTAAGTATTTGTATACTTAAACAATACATATTTAAAAATTCCGCCAGAGAAACAATTTACAACATCTGGCAACATTGCAACTATCTGTCAAATCTCTCAGGAGCTTCGTCTCCATTGTCTACAATTAGACGTTCCTCATGCTTGGCCGCCACGCCATCTTGAATAGTCACGTGGTTTGGATTGCCCAATAACTTCAATACTAATAACAAAGCCATAAAAACAATTAGGGAATCCAAACCACGTGACTTTTGCCAACCAGCCGGCATTTTGAAATTTTTATGAGGTTAGAATACGGGTTGTTACATGTCAACGATGTCAGAAAAGTGTCAGATTGATAAAGCCTATTACTCATAACCGCGAAATTCACCCTTTTTTGACATTGCTTGGATAATTTGACGTTTGATTCATGCATAAAACGTCAAATTGTCGAAGCAATCTCAAAAAAGAGCGAATTTCGCTGTTATGAGTACTAGGCTTAATCCTGCCAAAAGAAAAACATATGTTTTTTGTTTATTGTTTGCCAACCAGACGCCATTTGGACAGGTCGTTGGATTGCCTAATTAACAACACTCCCTAACCCAAAATCAGCACATAATTAGGTTATGTTGAACAGCGTTTTGAACATTGAGGTAGGCGACATGAGGAGGAAAAAGCGTATCCACTTCCGCCATATTGTTTCTACACTTCTGTCTGAGATTCTGTCACTTCTGTCATAGCAACGCGACAGAATTGCAACAGGGCCGCATTTTCCATCCGAAGATTTTTTAAATGCGAAAAATTTTTGAAGCCCAGAATTCCTATTTTGGGTCTTGGATGGATCTCCTGTTTCAGTATGTTGAAGTTTCTGTGGCAACTTTTTCTTTCTTGGTGTAATCTCGTTTCTTTTACATTTTTAGATAAAAATTACAAAGAATCCATTTAGTTCGGCTCTGTTTAAGTAGACAAAAATAACGAATAAAAATGTAGTCATTGTCACACTTCAGAGCTTAGACAAGGACAGTATCAAAGCTGTGCGTCAAATCCATAGTGAACGAGTCTTATTGGTCATGTTGGTCAGTGAAGAAGTCTAAGTCACACACACTCGTGTCATTCCAGTACGCTTAAATATGTGGTATGAAAAAAGTATTTTTAAAAAATTATTTTTTTCAAAATAGGAGTTTTTAAAGCCAACTTAAATCAAAGTTGAATTTATTTTGGTTCATACAACTGATTAAACATTTCAATACGGGAAAACTCCCCATTGTTATTAAGCTTGCACATTTTTTTCTCAATATGATTTTTAAAGATTTTTTCAAGTTATCAACTTTGTAATATAACTTTCGTGATTTCGTTCGAGCAGTTATTTGCTTATTATTAATAACTTCATTTTAATCAATGTCCCAAATGTCGATATGGGTTGCAAAAGTTGTATTCCTTTCATACCTAGAAGGAGCTCCGGAACAGCTCCGGGGCTTCACGCGCTTATTCCTTTCGAAAAGTGTTTGTTGCACCACGCATAAAGTGCGTTTTTTTTTAAAGATAAAAGTCAAACTGACATTAGGTTGGCAATACAATGTAAAATTGTCAATGCTTTCAAATTTTTTATGTAGAAAAGGCTTGTGTTGCCAACATAGTTACTAAATTTTTGACTTGGGGAATAGACCTATCTATTTTTACCTGGTATGCGCGTGCAACACGAGGCAATGTCTTTTTATTGGCTAGCTAATACAGGTGTAAGGTGATCGTTTTGCACGCTGGACATCTCTTTATCCTTGTTCATTGCACGTGATCTGACAAGAATAAATCTAAAGTTGATATTCAACTTGACAAGTGTCATTCAAAAGTTGTTTGACATTTTCATTGACAAATACGTTGCACAACACGCGGTTTTTCTCCTTTCCTTTTTATCCTGTGCAAATAAGAAGGACGGATTGCTATACGTAAGTCTAATATAATTTGGTACGTTTTGCCTCGTCTTGCGCAATGAGCGGTGTGTGTCTTTTTTATTTAATGAAGTTTTCGTATTATTACCTCTTTGTCTGGTAAAATAGATAGGTCTATTATCTTTAAAAAAAAAAACAGATTTTATTTTCCCTGCAAATCGGGGGCGACTAAGCACCGAAGCGAGTAGCTCGAGTGTTTCAAGCTCTTGAAAGGAATACAGCTAAATTTATATGTCTAATTTGATCGATATTCTCTAACTTTTGGCAAAATTTGAAAAGACTTTTACATTTTGTATATGTAGGTACCCGATTTTGTTCAACTCCTCGGTTTCGTTCAACAACTGCCGTCGCGTATGAAAATTGAAAAAATATCTTTTTTGTAATTCAGTTACGAAAAGTCATCTTTTTGACATTGATTTTAGTTATCAAAAGTGGTTCATTTTAACACAATCACCAAAATAAGCAGTGTGTTCTAATACAGTGTTCAAATGAGATCTAATTTCATCACTGAGTGTTGAAATGGGATTTAGAGTGCGTTCCGTCCGTGTCAGTGTTAAAATAATGAGTTTGTATTTTGAATTTCAAATATTTTGAGTGAATCACAAAAAATCTTGTATGAAACACTTCGTAAAATGGCTAGTTTTTTGCACACAATGTGTTGGACCACTCGTTTCGCCCGTGCTCCAATCTTCACATTTAGTGCAAAAAACACACTAATTTTACAACTTGTTATATAAATAGGTATTTCCGCACTCGTTGCATTATTTTATACTTCTTACTTCTGAATAGTAGGAAACACATTACCCCCGAAAAGCATTTCCAGTTGTTGTTGTTAGTTCGAAAATAAAAAATTGATAGGTAATCCAAATTTATTGTAACTTTTATGTTTTTAGTTTGTACAATTTTATGTGTGTCATATCTCAATGAGCTATGAATCCAGAATGTGTAGGTTTTTTGTGAATTCTCCAAGCTCGCTTCTGTGCCAGATGATATCCGCTATAAATATTGCCTGTTAATATCAAAGACACTATTGACAAAAAAAATACTGTTCAAAACCAATACAGCAGTCTCTTGCAAAAACAGCCTTTCATGAATGAAGTTCTCTAAATGCTCCAATTTTTTCTACTATAAATCCCAGCGTGTCGAACCAGTAAACATATACAAAAAAGTTGCATAGCTTGCGTGGTCGTCGGCATCAATTACAAAAACGACTAAGGGGCGTAGTAAAAATGAAGCATAAACAGGTACATTATGCAAAAACAGTGCCTCATAAAATGCTCTCAAAACCTTTAATGTTTTGCTATAAATCCCAGTCAGTGTCTGTCACACAAAAAAAAAACGCTCGCTTCTTAGTTCTTGGTCATCATTATCATTCAGTTGAGTATGGCTAATATAAATTCAATAAATGCTCCAGAAACCTATAATTTTTTTGCTTTGGATAAAAAAAAAAGTTTCGCTGTTGCTTCTCGGTTCATCCTGTAAGCTCGAAGCTCATAGTCACACGCACTTCGAAGAGACGGAACGTATGCCGAGACGTCGTCGGTCGAACCCCCCCGCCAACCCCTTTTTTGCGTCGGTCGGTTGGTCGGGCATCAGGCAGACGATCCGCCGACTTCACTTGTTCGAATATTATGTTGTTACGTAATTTTTGGGCCTATGCCCCCCCACCCTTCGACGCACAAATTATACAGCCCCCACCATTTACCATCGTCGCTACCCCTCCGTCGTGCCGGCGCTCGACTGGATGCTGCCCGACCGACACTGAATTCAGAAAGCGGCGGCTTTTTGTAATGTTTTAGTATGTTAGTGTAGTTTTTGCCCTCGATATAGACGCGTTCGTTTTTTAGTAGCTCTGCGCTCGCTACGACGACCGACCACTTTGCCCGAGCGTAAACGCCGGCTTTATTTTCGTTTTGTTTTCCTTTACGCGTCGCAGTCAGTTTTAAGTTAGTTCGGGCTTTTTAAGATTTTTTCGGAAAGCTTTCGACCGCATCAACAACGCAACTTTGTACCTTAAAAAAACCCACGAGAGTGATATTTGATTGTGATTCTTCAGTAAACAAAAAAAAAAAACTTTTAGACTATATTGTTAATTTTTAGTGACAATTATACAATTGTTAAATTAAATTATTATTAATGCGTCCACCAAAACTATAATTCGAATTAATTTAATTATTGAAAAAAATTAATATAACCCTGGATTCGAGACTGGATTACCGTTCAGGAGGCTTGGATTTTCACCAACCTCCTCCAACCATGCTGCTGGAAAACAACACAAATTACCTCCAAAGGTCCATAGACACATTACGTAGTCTAGGTGACCGGAACATTGACCTAAGACTAAATCTACATCACAATGATTACCATAGAGGCAGTGAACGATTAGATAGGAATTATAATCATCAACATCAAGGCTTAAATAATAGTCTCGAGCTTAATTTAAGCTTAAATACAGCAACAGATAGGCTATTACAAGAACGAATTCAACAAGAACGTATGCAACAAGAAAGAAATTTAGAAAGAATACTCAATGAACGCTCAATGCACCACGACCAACGAATGAACTTAGATCATAGTTTGAGCTTGGAACGGCTCAATTTAGAACGCTCACTAACCCAAAGCCTTGACCGCAACCTTAACCTTACCCACCATCAAAACAGTAACGAAAGGCCCCTTGGTGACAGGGGCAATTTGAACGGCTGTAACAACGTTGAACCTAGGCTACTGGATCGTAACCTGAACAGCCTGGGTTACGGTCCAGCCGACAGGAATCCCGACCTTAGCGACCTCAAGTACAGAGAGTACAAGGCTCACTTGGAGAACCTGCGAGAAAGTTCAAGGTCGTTGGAGGGGAGCGGCGGGGGGATAGGAATTGGGAGAGACGACGGGGGAGAACGGGAGGCGACACCGACCACACCACCCACGCCGTTGAGCGTCGGGGAGAATTTTCACGAGGAAAAGGTAAGTGCCAATAAATTGATTGGAGGCAATTACTTACTTATTTTATTTCTGGTGGAGACGAATTTTTTCAATAATTGAAATATGTATTAGGAGCATTATGAGCGAGCAGAATAAATTGTCTTTTTTTTTATTCAATTTGGAAAAAAAAAATATTGAATTGAGAAGGTGCGAGTCACTTCAATGTTTAAGCTTTTTTTGATTCCTACACTTTTGTGAAAAAAAAAAAAACTACTTAATCTAGAATTCTCTAATTTTTTTAGAAGTTTTCAGCTTTCATTCTTACATAAATGGGTATCAATATCAAATGTCTGAAACACACTTGAAGAATTTTTTTAGTTAGACTACATAGAGCTTAAATTTAAAATGTTCGTCTTCTTAAACAGCTAAAACTGTTAATGAATCTTTTGGAACAAAACACAACTTTACTCTCGACTTTCAACATTTTCATTTTTCTTTAATTTTTCTCTAGATCTCCTAAACCAAAATAAATTCAAAAAATAATATAGGTAAAAGATTATGTAGAGAAAAACCTACCTTCAGTTTATCAATAAATATGTAGTCGGGTACCAATTGTAATGCAAATGTAAAATTTAAAAAAAAAATCACCTTTTTCAAAATAAAAATATCTAATAGGTAATCTTGTTTGTTCAGCGAAAGCACACAGCTAAGGAAATTCAATAAATTATTGAAAACATACAATATCCAATGCACAGAAGTAAATTACAACTATTATACATACTTACCTAATAATTGCCACCTAATAATTGGACAATTCTGTTTTACAACGTAAAGTTAGATTATTTATTGTTTTAAATTTTGTTGGAGAATTAATATAATATACAATTTTAGTCCTATAGATTCGATCATTTGAAAAATCAATTAAAAATTACCCTGTTGACAAGTACTTTGAGACTTAATTTGTTGAAAAATTAGCATAATTATAATACATTTAACAGTGCGAAAAATTTACCTGAAATAAATTCTGTATAAGAAATAGTACCTAGGTACTTTTTTAGTTTTGTTGTACATTGTGACATTTCTTCTGGCAGCATCAGCTTGTTGAAAAGACATCAAAAAAGAAATTTAATTCACTGTTTAATTTTGCAGTTACAGTGTTTTAAGAGACGAGAAAGTTGAAAAACAAAATCAATTTTCAAAATTTTTCTTTCCTGTTAAAACTGTTCAAACCGTTTTTTCCTTAGAAAATCTTTATCGGACCTAAAAAAATTCATCACTTTACCATCAATTTTCACAATTATTTGAAGAAAATTTCAATTATATACTTATTTGAAGACAAGATAATCAGAAGAAAATTACATGATAATAAATATTTTTGTAGAATATGTTCTTTATTGTTGTAACCGAGGTAGTAACCATTTGCGAAGTTAAAAAAATAGTTGAAAATGTTCAATTCGCTCTTTTGAAAAAATCCCAATGAGAAACAAAATTCATCTCTAACACTACTATGCATTTCTGTCGATATTTGTTGAATTTTGTAGGTAGGTGATGTTTTGATGAAGACCTTCCAAACTCTTGTTTGAAAATACTGCATTTAAACTTGGGATAAGTTCTTGACGCAAAACATTTAAATAAGCTGGTCCATTAAAAATTTCGTTGAAAAATATTGACCTTATAATTGGTTCGCCAACTATCCCAATCCGAACATTGAGTTTTTCAAGACTTAAGAGTGGATTCATATGAGAAAAAGAACCCTACTCTTGATATCCTGTTTTGTGCAAGAGCATCTATCATCGTTTCACAAAATTGTAAATGGCCATCAGTATTTCCAATGATTTTGTGAAAAGTCTGCGTATTATTATTATAATCAATCTATCAAACTGATCTTAATACTTGTTCCTGAGTTTGTGATCTGTCACCATATTCTAAATTCATCAAGACTTCAATTTTTAGGGGATTTTGAAAGGGTTACCCTTATTAGCAAGTTGTTTGTTTAAAATTTTAAGCCCCAGCTTATTCATCTTCCGATAAACTACTGGTTACTATCTAAGAAACAAAAATATACTAAACCAGTTGTTAGGAGGTTCGACAGGATTATTAATTGCGTTTTTCTCCGTCAGATTGTATCACCTGACAAATTCTTCTCGCTAAATACGTACTAAAAATAAACAAATAATGCTTTCCAAATCACAGACACTAAATTTAATATAATATAAACACAATAGACTCATCTTATTCTGATATTTGTCTGTCCTTCTATTTTTTCAATTTTTTCCAGTCTTTTTCTTTCAGTTTAAGGTCTCTTTTATTTTATGTTCCCTGATCGCTATTCTCAATAAAACACTACTTTTGAGAAAAAGCTTGTCTATTAACGACACATATTCTGACGTGAATATTGGCAGACTGTTGAATAATTATTATAATGTCTAACCTAACGATAGCAGAATATTGAGGTTGATGAAAAAGAAAGGCTATGTGGCCCAAGTAATTATATTTTTTTGAAGGTCCTAACATTCGGCCATCCTTCTCTTTTTTGTCCTCGAAAATAGTACAATAATCGTCTAAATATTTCGGTTTTCTTCTTAGTCGTTTCTCTGCATCGGGTTTATTGTCGCAATCCGGCTTCTAGTCTTATCATTACCATAGTTCACCATTATATACATGATTCTCAGACTCTTCTTGTTCTAGTTCATCATCATCATAGTCATCTTCGGAATCATCACATTCAGGTAGTTTGAATCTTTTCATTATTGCATCAACAGCAACTACTCCTTTGTAGAACTTTTGAGTACTTTGAGGTCTTCTATTATACGATACCTGTCATTCGGTAATTTCTCTACAATAACATAAGGTTCTTTATATTTCTCCAATAGTTTCTTTGATTCGGCTGTAGGTGGATTTGATTGTTTTCTAACTAAGACAAGATCTCTTGGAATGTAGTTTGTCTCTTTTGATCTTCCTTTATTAAATCTCTCTCTCTGCTTCTCTTGATCTTTTCTAGTCTTTCCTAATGCATCTTGTCTTCACCAAAGTCTTGAATGTGCACCTTCAAATCGCCTTTTCTTTTAAATTTTGCTTTGCAAGTGTCACATTCAAAAGGATGAATATCCGAGTGTGTTAACATGTGCATCTTCAAAACGCCTCTTTGTTTAAATTTTACTTTGCAAGTGTCACATTTAAAAGGATGAATATCCGCGTGTGTTAACATGTGCATCTTGAAAACGGCTTTTCCTCTAAGTTCTGCTTTGCACATGCCACATTTGAAAGGCCGAATATCTGAATGTGTCATTAAGTGACGCTTCAAATGGCCTTTTCATTTAAATTTTGCTTTGCAAGTATTACATTCAAACGGATGAATATCCGAGTGTGTCAACATGTGCACTTTCAAATCGCCTTTTCTTTTAAATTTTGCTTTACAAGTATCACATTCAAACCGATGTAGAACCTAGAAATGTCATAATATACAGGGTGGTCCATTTGAAAAAACAAAGTTTCAGTTATTTCCTGAAAAACGAAAAATCTGATAATCATGTGAATACTACCATATTATCGGCCATATTTCAATACTCGTTCACACCAAAATTCATAAAAATCGTGCAAGCCGTTTTCGAGATAATTGAGACGTTCCATACTTAAAACTCACTGTGTATGTCTCGGTTTGAAGCTAAATAATAACTCAAAAGATGTTCATTCTCTGTAGCTCTATACAAAGTATTATTAAATCCATACTGAATTCTACCAACCTATATTTATCTCGACTTCTACACATACTTGCTAGTGCTGGTATCAAATATCTATTTACTCGTTCTATTTGTCCGTTTGCTCACGGAGTCGACGTAGCATTTAAAATATGACTAATCTTTTTGTTTTTGCTCGGAGTTCCAGTAAATGAAGTTCCTCTATCTGTAATAATTCTGTGTGGAGGACCTCCTATATTCATTATTTCTTCTAAGATCACATCCGAGTTTGCATTGATCATATCCATTGTTATCTTTCGACCATTATCTTCGTTCACTTTATTCTTCTTCACTTCACAACAGTGTACTTCTACTTTTTCTTGACATATCTCTGCTCTTATCAGTTTTTCATGTTCATCTAGTTTTATTTCTCTGCTTGTGATATTCATAATCGGTATCTCAACTTGTCCATATGGTCATCTAAATGAATTACGCATCTAGCAATGTATCTTTCATAAAAATTTTGACGTTCTACAAATAATAAATCTTGATTTTTGTTATTTTCTGCATAGACCGTAGTATAACCAACATAGTTCAGATCCATCAAACATTCATCCATTTTACTTTCATTCTTTTCTTCAAAGATTCTCAGTGTAGTGCCTCTTCGTATTATCACTTGTTCTTGTTCGGTGAAAGGTTGTCCAATCAAAAATGACATATGTCAGTTCTAGCATGCACCTGGTCTAAACCCATGTCAACATTTCTAGCTATATGCCCAAAGGCTTGATTTTTCCTCCGCCAAAACCAAAGTTCCTAAAGTTCATAGAATATCTGGTAATGGGTAACTTGATTACGCATCTGGAATGCCTTTGGAGATTTGTGTTATGTTAAGGCACCCCAGATGACGTCATAAAGTTATCAGGCAACCTACCTCTTTCAAACAACCTTAGCCAAAACCTTTGATTCACATGTCACTTGTCCAATTTGTCATACTTCAATTTTTTGTTTTCAGCATCTGATAATCTCAGCATATTGCATTGAGTTCACATAAGATTTTGTGCTGTTCTCATGGACAGTTGCTTCCTGAAAATACTTTATATTTTGCTCTTTTATACCACTATTTGTGAGTTTACCGCATTGGCTGTGGTTCGCTGGTTCTTCTGAGGTGCTTCAGGGGAGGTTGGGGGTAGATTCTGGGAGCAATATTTCGAGATGTGACCATATTTCTTGCATTTGAAGCAAACGGGCTTGTGTTCAGCATTTCTAGGTGGTAAATATCTCGAAGTGTGCTGTTGACCCTCTACTCGGGTATTACCAGTTTGTCGTAGTGTCTTAGCTGCCTCATTATTACTCAATGTCTGTAGT